TATTTACCTAAAGAAAATGAAAACAGTAATTTGAAAAGATATATGCACCTCTCTGTTTATTGCAGCATTATTTACAATAGTCAAGATATGGAAGCAGCCTGTGTCCATCAATAGATGAATGGATAAAGAAGAAATTGCTATAGATAGATAGGTAGATATAAATATATCTATCTATATCCATCTGTATCTATTTACCTATGTATCTACCTATAAAATGGAATATTACTCAGCCATAAAAAATGAAATCTTGCCATTTGCAAGGACATGGATGGACCTAGAGGGTATTATGCTAAGTAAAATAAGTCAGAGAAAGACAAATACCATGTCTTTCAGATACCATGATTTCACTTACACGTGGAATGTAAAAAACAAAGACAAAGCAGAAACAGAGCCATAAATATAGAGAACAAACTGGTGGTTGCCAAAGGGGAATGGGGTAGGAGGGATGGGCAAAATGGATAAAGGGGAGTGGAAGGTACAGGCTTTAGGTTATGGAATGAATAAGTTACATGTATGAAAGGTACGGCACAAGAAATGTAACGGATGGTATTTTAACAGCGTTGTGTGCTGACAGATGGTAGCTATGCTAAAGGTGAGCACAGCATCACATATAAACTTGTCAAATCCTTAGGTTGTACACCTGAGACTAGTGTAACATTGTGTGTCAATTACACTTCAATTTAAAAAAAGGTACCAGAATTAAGAACATTGCAGTTCCTTAATAGGAATGTAATAAGGGAAAACATACCAAGATCACAGTAGGATTTTCTCTTGTGGAGAAAGTGGAAGGGGTAGGATTTCTAGTCTCTGGTCTGTTTCTTAGGATCATGATATGCAAATGGTAAAGAAACTTGGTCCCAATTAAAATCTTGAACATTTCCTGGCACTTTGCTAACAGCTTTACCTCCTTATCCCTGCAGCTGGTGCTGCCTTATATTTTGTAGTAACTTGAAACTGACATGTGGGGAATTTTAAGTACATATGTTATCAAAACAGATGTTCCCCAGACTTTATAGACTATCAGGAGGTCATCTCATCTTTCAGAAAGCAGCCTGGAATTTGAATTTAGTTACTCTCATAATTTTACATTCTCCAAAGTATGTGGGAAATTTAAAATTTATTAGCAACGTTCTCTTGTTCTTAGATTTTAGAGATATGGCAATTTCAGTAAACCTGAGAAAAATTATATGCCGTGCCAACCAGAGGCAGATTATTGACCAACTTCCCTTGCCTGGTGATAAATCTAAGGCACATAAGTATTTTAATGCTTTCTCAGGAAATTTGGAGTCCTACTTTATAAAGGAAAGAAGTCCCACTCTCTTTTCCATGCAAAATGATAATTAAAGCAAAAATGAACTTATAAAATAATACAAAGGATGCTGAGTTCAGAACAAGTAGAGACATTTTAACCCCAGTCCCTCTCCCCTACTTTTTACTAGACTCCAGATGAGACTCTGGCTTCTTTCTTATTCTGTATACAAGTTTCTCATGGATTGCAAAGGCTGGGGACTTTGGCAGAACTCTCTGAGATAAGAAAAATTATGTATTTCTTTTTATTTTTTATTTATTTTTTATTTTTGAAAAGATTTTATTTATTTATTTGACAGACAGAGATCACAAGTAGACAGAGAGGCAGGCAGAGAGAGAGGAAGAGAAGCAGGCTTTCCGCTGAGCAGAGAGCCCAATGCAGTGCTCGATCCCAGAACCCTGAGATCAAGACCTGAGCTGAAGGCAGAGGCTTTAACCCACTGAGCCACCCAGGCGCCCCATCTTTTTATTTTTAATTTTACTTAAATAATGCCTTTACAACAATGTGGTGTTAATTATTTGGCACTACCAGGTGTGATATTTCCATACCCCACTATTTCCTTTGGGTTTCAAGGAGGTACAGAGTACAGCTCCAGGAGGCCTTGACCGTTTACCAGCCAAGCCTCATAGATGTTGGCTGGAGAGCAGCAATCACTGAGAAGTGCACTAGGCCCACTAGTGCTGTCCGGTAGAACTCTCTAGTCTCTTCTGGGGTGACAGACATACTCTATATCTGCACTGGCCAACATGGTGGGTGCTAGCACATGTGGCTTCTGAGTACTTGAAAGGTAGCTAGTGTAGTTGAGGAACTAGGTTTTAAACTGTATTTATTTTTAATTAACTCAGATTTAAGTGGCCACAAATGGCTGGTGTCCACTCCAATACAGTAGACCTGATGGTTTGTCTTGGGCTTTCCAGAGCGTGGAATGGGTAGGTGCCTAGCGTCCCCTTGCTGTGGCGTCTCTACCCCTCAATGAGTGCCCCCAAGTTGGTCTTTCATGGAGAGACTCCACACCTGGGGTTACTGCTAAAGAGTGCACGTGGGACAGGACTTTGTGAAATATCTCCTTCCTGTTCTTCACAGGGATGGGGGGAAGGAACATGAAAAGGTAAAGTGACATTAAATGAAACAAGATATTTGTCCTGGTCTTAAAGACTCTTTTCTCACTGAGATATTTAGGGTGGTGGGTATTATGGAGGGCACGTCGTATTGCATGGAGCAGTGGGTGTGGTGCATAAACAATGAATTCTGAAACACTGAAAAGAAATTAAAAAAAGATAGCCTATTTGAATATTTTACGATTGATTGTGAAAAAGAGTGATCCTGGGGAGTAGAGTTTAGAGGTAACATAGTGAGAAACTCGTTTTACTTGTGCCTTGAAGAATTCTGTGAGGGACCCAGTTTCTTACCCTGAGGAGAATTGCTTGTTTATAAGAAGCACTCTCGAGATTCTTATTAATTTCTTGAGTTTGAGAGTGGAATACTGAAGGCCTACTGTGCGCTTTCGCATAAATACTGACAGTATAAGTGTGGCTCTGGGGTAGTGATTATTACGGAGAGGGATAAAAGCACAGGATATGAAAATGACTGAGATAAGGCTGCTGTAAGGTGGGGGACCGGGACAGACAGTGGGCCTGGTCTCCCAATGCTCAGCTGGGATGCTGGTGTTACAGTGTGCCACATTAAAAATTCACACCAGAATCCTGGTGGGTCATAGAAGGTAGAGAGAGGAGGCCTTCTGCCTCTCAGAGATCAGTCTTTACATCTGAGGAAGCTTGACACACCAGCAGTCTTGTGGCAGCTGTGGTGAGTGGGCCACCTCCTATAAGGGGAGCCGTCCCCGCTGAATTTGCGGAGAAAGGTGTTTAAAAAGATTTGTTGATTGATATTTCTGTGGTCATTCTGCCACTCTCACTCATAAAACTAAATGGAGCTTATGTGCCAGGGACTATGCTCCACTTGCCGTCTAAATGAAGAGGAGAAAATGTGTACATGGAAGAAGAAAACTAACAATAAAAGCCGCGGTGAGATGGATCCCACATGAGTGGGGCAGACGGTAAATGCTATATCCCACAGTTGCCTTCCAAAACATAAAGGCCCTTCAGGTGGGAGAGGTATTAGGCTTCCTCTCTGGGGCTCCAGAAGGCAACACTGATGGTATTGTCTTTAGTTAAAGAAAAGGGGTTTTGGAAGGTCTGTTTCTGCAGGGCACCGTGGGGCGGGAGAATGGTTGAGGAGTGGGCAGGGTGCCCAGAAGATGAAGGTGTGACGGTGACTGCTGGTTACGGAGGGATTCCTTGCAGCCAGTAGAAGGGAAAGCTTCACAAAAGTGGAAGAGGCTGCTATGAGGGGATTAGCCTTCTTCACGGGAGATGTCCCCAAAGAGGATCCTTGGACCCTGCGTGGGAATGAGGGGACTCATGCTGGTAGAACAGGGATCAGAGAATTACCGACTGTGGGTCAAACCCGGCTTCCTGCTTCCCTTCGTAAATATTTTTATCAGCACCCAGCCATGCCCATTTGCTTAAATCTGGTGCAGGCTGCTTTCCCACTACAGTGGTAGAGGTGGGTGGGTGTGATGACATCCTATGGCCCACAAAGCCCGAATTATTTACTATCTGGGCCTTGAAAGAAAAAGTTAGCAGGGCTCTAGAAAGGATTGGGTGCAGTGATACATAAATCCTTTCTAATTCTCTGACTGTAAGGGATTTGGATCAGAAGCAAGCCTCGTGGGAAGTGTGAAGGGTGCCTTGGAAGAGATGAACTTCAGTTGGACCTTGAAGAAAACTGGCAGGTCCTGGCAGAGGATGCCCGTCCAACATGACCCCAGGGCCAATCTCATGGGGATTGAGTCAGTGTTCCTTGGATGCCGAGGACAGACTCATTCCAACATTCACCCGTCCATTCATTTATTCTTCATGCCTTCAGTGTATCCTTGGCCAATATAGACAATGCTCTAAAACACTTCTCTGTCTGTTCTTGGTAAAGTAAGCCCAAATTCTGGCACGAGCTATTGGCACTTCGAGAATAACTTCGCTACTGTGGAAATGCTCCTTCAGTTCAATGTTTATAATTGAGTTTTATGGACTTATTTTATTTTAAGTATAATGGTCTCACCTAGACACAACTTAGAATTTATGCACGTGTTCAGCTTAATTGTAGGACATAAGAAATGATCGTTCCAAAATGAAAACCTCACTGTATTTGCGGGCGATGCAGCTCGCAGTGTTAAGGGTAGGATGCACATTACTATTCATGCCTTTTTAATTGATTAGCCTTTAAGGCTTCTGAAAGCCTTTAAAAGTTGTTTTGTCAACATTAGACCAGCTGCTGTGTAATTACGGTAGCTCTTCTTGCAGTTAAATTCTTTTAATAACGTGTTCCATCTGCCCATGCCGAAGTGCTTTGAACCTGTGATATATACTATGGAGAGCTTTTGTTTTTACTTACAGATGGTTGGTGCCGTTTTCTGGGCGACTCTGTAGAAATTTCACAGAAATTTTAAAGATGAATTACTTCAAAATGGGAGGCAAATGAATTTGAACATCAGGTTACTCCTCCTCCTATAAAAATTGTTCATATGTGACTTGAATTTTGAACTTGACTCATAACAGCCTAAATATGCTCATTAAAAAGGAAAAGAAATCTTCACCCTGAAACCATTTTAAGGCTCTTTTCTCTCACTCTCCAGCTTATACATCAAAACTTCCTGGCACTGGTCAGACGGTGGTGAAAGCAGTGGGGCTGTGATAAAGATCGCTGCTTAATGAGGAGCCGGACACGGTAGGTCTGCCCTCTGTGCAGGGGCGGCTGAAAGTCTGCTCGGAAAACTGAATGCGACCTTGGCGGTGTAGTTTGCTATTTTTCAAAGGAGATTTATCCTGAAGTCTGCCGTAAAAAATTATAACTAGGGACAGGGACTGGTGTCAGAAAGATGCAAACAGAAGATCCTGTCCTTCCTTCCTTCCCGTCTCCCCACTCCCCAAGCCCCTCCGTGTGTGCAGTCTTGTCTACACGCACAGTTGGCGCAGCATTTCTATGGACAGGCTGCACAGGTGATTAAGGTAGATAAGAGGTGGGAGTGGTGGCCATGGAGGCTGTGGAGGTTGCTCCTGGTAGCTGGGTGACTTAGCTGACTTCTTCCCTAGAACATTTTTTTTTCCCATTCTTTTTTTTTTTTTATTAATTTTTTATTTTTTCAGCGTAACAGTATTCATTGTTTTTGCACCATACCCAGTGCTCCATGCAATCCGTGCCTTCTCCAATACCCACCACCTGGATCCCCTGACCTCCCACCCCCCGCCCCTTCAAAACCCTCAGATTGTTTTTCAGAGTCCATAGTCTCTCATGGTTCACCACCCCTTCCAATTTCCCTCAACTCCCTTCTCCTCTCCATCTCCCCTTGTCCTCCGTGCTATTTGTTATGCTCCACAAATAAGTGAAACCATATGATAATTGACTCTCTCTGCTTGACTTATTTCACTCAGCATAATCTCTTCCAGTCCTGTCCATGTTGCTACAAAAGTTGGGTATTCATCCTTTCTGATGGAGGCATAATACTCCATAGTGTATATGGACCACATCTTCCTTATCCATTCGAACGTTGAAGGGCATCTTGGTTCTTTCCACAGTTTGGCGACTGTGGCCATTGCTGCTATAAACATTGGGGTATAGATGGCCCTTCTTTTCATTACATTTGTATCTTTGGGGTAAATACCCAAATACCAAATATCTTTGGGGTAAATACCCAAATACCCTGCAATGGCAGGGTCATAGGGTAGCTCTATTTTTAATTTCTTGAGGAATCTCCACACTGTTCTCCAAAGTGGCTGCACCAACTTGCATTCCCACCAACAGTGTAAGAGGGTTCCCCTTTCTCCACATCCTCTCCAACACATGTTGTTTCCTGTCTTGCTAATTTTGGCCATTCTAACTGGTGTAAGGTGGTATCTCAATGTGGCTTTAATTTGAATCTCCCTGATGGCTAGTGATGAACATTTTTTCATGTGTCTGATAGCCATTTGTATGTCTTCATTGGAGAAGTGTCTGTTCATATCTTCTGCCCATTTTTTTTATATGATTGTCTGTTTTGTGTGTGTTGAGTTGCAGGAGTTCTTTATAGATCCTGGATATCAACCTTTTGTCTGTACTGTCATTTGCAAATATCTTCTCCCATTCCGTGGGTTGCCTCTTAGTTTTTTTGACTGTTTCCTTTGCTATGCAGAAGCTTTTGATCTTGATGAAGTCCCAAAAGTTCATCTTCGCTTTTGTTTCCTTTGCTTTTGGAGACATATCTTGAAAGAAGTTGCTGTGGCTGATATCGAAGAGGTTACTGCCTATGTTCTCCTCTAGGACTCTGATGGATTCCTGTCTCACGTTGAGATCTTTTATCCATTTTGAGTTTATCTTTGTGTACGGTTTAAGAGAATGGGGTTGAGTTTCATTCTTCTGCATGTAGCTGTCCAGTTTTTCCAGCACCATTTATTGAAGAGACTGTCTTTTTTCCACTGTATATTTTTTCCTGTTTTGTCGAAGATTAATTGACCATAGAGTTGAGGGTCCATATCTGGGCTTTCTACTCTGTTCCACTGGTCTATGTGTCTGTTTTTATGCCAGTACCATGCTGTCTTGGTGATCACGGCTTTGTAGTAAAGCTTGAAATCAGGTAACGTGATGCCCCCAGTTTTATTTTTGTTTTTTAACATTTCCTTAGCGATTCGGGGTCTCTTCTGATTCCATACAAATTTTAGGATTATTTGCTCTTCCCTAGAGCATCTTAAGAGAGAAAGGCAAGGCCTTTCAAAGTAGAGGCACAGAACATGGGGCACCTGGAGGAGCAAGAGTCTAGATGGGGCCTCAGCGGGCTCTCTCTGTCCCTTGTCCAACTTGTAATTAAGAAATGCATCTATGTTGCTGGGAAACCATGAAGGGATACTGTCAACTGCTTGCACTCACCTTTGCTCTCCGTTTTGTGGCGTATAACGAGGCTGGGAGAGAAATGGACTTTTTCCTCGTGAGGAAGCCAATCTGTTTCAAGTTTGAATAGAAGTTCGAATATCAATGATCTGCAAAATCTGGGGAAGAAGCTAACCTTGACGGTGTTGGCAGGGCAGGCTGAAAACTGTGCCTCTTACACCTGCTCACTCCCAATGTACAATGTTCTGTGTGCCTTTGAAGATCTTGAGCCCTAAGAATTGGGCATTTGGGAGGAAACATGGACTTGTCGGCATCTACTTGTGGTATTTACTAAGTGGTCTTTAAGACATGGATATGAAGAGAATTAGAATTTATTTAAATAAAAGATAGCTAAATTAGTTAATATTTTATTCTAAAATATTATATAAAGTTATATAATTTATCTTAAAATTTATATGAAAATCTTCTACATAAAATTAATAGTATATTTTTCCCTGTGGGACAAACTTGTTCCTGGTAAATGGCTTAATCTTTACAAAGTTATACTGAATGTTAATTCAGATGTTTTTAATATTTCAGGCTGGTAGAACTGTCTACTTGGAGAAGGCCAAGAAAACTAGCATGAATCTCGGTGTTTGATAACTAAATATCAAAACCTGTTAATACTATCATACAATTCTTGGGACCATTACCTTTTGCTCAGGTGCATTCTTTACATTGATATGATAGAAATTTCTACCTTCAGATGTCAATTTTAAATGCTTGCATGAGACCTGGTCTTCTAATCAATCTTATAATATAAACTTTATATATACTTTCACATATAATGCTTATCATATTGGCATTTTATATGCTTTCTCAAAGTCTTGCATATAGTTTTAGAAGATTGGAAACTGTCAAAACTTCTCTGAGGGCTGCAAAATTGTCTTTATCACTCCCCCACAATAATCTCACGTTATCTTGAGATGCACTGAATCAGGAAGAGGACATACTGATCTTAACCTCTGGTGCTAAGCAAAGGCCCAATAGCCATAAACTAATGTATACATGTATGTACATATATCCATGTATATGAGGAATCAGTTTCCAAAGAACTCCAGGACCAACAAGGTGAAGGACTTGTGCACACTCAGATGGCCAAATGTCATGGAGGTCTTTGCTTCTCAAACAAATCATCAAACCCAATATAATAGGGACTCAAACAAGTCCCTATTATATTGGCAGGGACTTAGGCATAGCATCTTTTTTTTTTTAAAATCAAGTATTTAGATTTTCTTGTCTATAAACAGCCAAAACCCAACTCAAATTAACTTAGGAAAATTTATTTTTAAAGGATTATCTCATGTGTGGAACAGAATTGATCTTTTTCTTGCCCCTAGTTTATTCTTTATGTATTCTGTAAAGATTGGCCTTTGCATGCTGGGTCTGTGTACTTAACTAAGAGTAAATTCCTTTTTTAATTTTTAATTAATTTATTTTTTTTTTAAAGATTTTATTTATTTATTTGACAGACAGAGATCACAAGTAGGTAGAGAGACAGGCAGATAGAGAGGGCGAAGCAGGCTCCCTGCTGAGCAGAGAGCCCAATGCAGGGCTCGATCCCAGGACCCTGGGATCATGGCCTGAGCTAAAGGCAGAGGCTTTAACCCACTGAACCACCCAGGCGCCCCAAGAGTAAATTCTTATGGTGCTGGACTGTACCACCCCTCTCTTAAATGATTACATGTAGAATAATTGAAGGAAGAGTTAGACAGTAAACTGCTAGAAGACCAGGGTCATAGCTGGGCCTCACTACGAAGGACTTGAATGCATCTGATACTGTCTCCCTATCTCTTGATTTCTCTCAGCTTGTCAGTTTAATTTTTGCTTATTGCAGACCAGGTACAGATGAAATGAGGAAGATGACTTCCAATCCTCCTGAGACTTATACATCTTACAGTTTATGCCACTGCACAGGACTGACTCATGCTCTCTGGTCCCAAACCAACAGTCCTGGGAAAGAGAGCTGATTGACTCAGCCTGGGACAGATATCAGCTTGGACCAGTCAGTTGTGGTGAGGGTAGAACAACATGTACTTGTCTTGGTGGCCCTTTTTCTGGGTATCAGCAAAAGGAGAATTAGTGTGGGCTAGAGATACTGGTGAAATGTTTTTCTTCCTCATACATGAACACATCATGTCTCTCTTCCCAACCATGATTACCTGGCCTCTGCCAGACACCTTCTTTCTGCCCCTCCTTTCTACTTCGCTTGCTATTGCTTTTGATGGTTTGGTAAATAAATGTCTTGCCCCAAGTTGCTAGGTCAGCGATATAGAGCAGGTCACTTCTGGTCTTTTCCCTTGAACCCCAGTGATGCTCATTTTCCTTTTTATAATTTAGGGAGCGGTGGCAGCTCAAGAGAAGGCAAATGAAAAGGTCAAATGATGAAGCTCACAATCTGCTTTAGGACCGGGAGATAATGCCCTTTTCTAAAGGCTAAATATTTTCTTGGGATGAGTGGATTAGTCATGAGTCCAAAATTTCATGACCGCCTTAGGAGATATTTGATCCTTTATGTATGTATAACATGTATAATAGCTGGAGGAAATGCACTTTTTTTTTTTTTTTTAAAGATTTTATTCATTTATTTGACAGAGAGAGAGAGATCACAAGTAGGCAGAGAGCGAGAGAGGAAGCAGGCTCTCTGCTGAGCAGAGAGCCCGATGCGGGGCTCGATCCCAGGACCCTGAGATCATGACCTGAGCCGAAGGCAGAGGCTTAACCCACTGAGCCACCCAGGCGCCGCCGGAAATGCACTTTTGATTTTTCTTATTTTCTAATTTGTTTTCACTATCCAGACTCATTTACACATACTTTTTAGGTGAAGA